CAGGAGCTTTGATCAGATGCAATCTCTAAAATGCTGTATAAAAAATTATTTGCAAAAAAATTTTCTGTCTTTGGATACTCAGTGCTTGGATTGTTCTGAATTGTGCTATTAAAATTAGGACTTCCTTATTCACTGCTCCTCTTGCCCTGCTCAAAACATGCAAAGTAGGGCGTAGTAAATTAACCAAACAATGCCTTGTGTCCTCCACAGCTGGACCGCATCACAGAGGTGCTGGGAACTCCGTCCTTCGAGGATATGCCTACGGCTTGCCAGGGAGCCCGCGACTACATCCGGTCGCGCCCCCACAAGCCAGCGGCCCTCAACCAGTTTTACAGCCTTTCCGATCAGGCTACCCACGAGGCCGTCCACCTCCTGTGTCGCATGCTAGTCCTCAACCCGGTGAGTGACTGCGCTAATAATGTCCACCACTAATGTTTGGGAAGGGTGGTAGCTCTTTCCGGTTCACAATTCAAGAAATTGATTTTTGTTTGAGTGGGGCACTGCTTTTTCTATGACACTGGAGGCCTTGTTGTGTTCACAATAAGTATTTCCTATCGAAATATTTGCAAGAAAGTAGAAGAGCAGAGAGAAAGATGAACTGGCTTTTCACTGCAGGAATGTCTTGATGGCAAAACATTGTTATTCATGAAATATACATAAAATAATAATTTATGGTTTTTGACTTGTGATATTGTACATACAAAATGTCGCATGGCCTCATGGACACAATTTAAATTGTTTTAGGTGGCAGACTGCTTTGTCTCTGCCTTGAGGTGGATACAGTATCCCAGCAGACATACTCAGATATTGATAAATTAACTTCCCCACCCAGGAATCAAACTCGAGCATCTTACATGCACCAATAAATGTTGGTCACTGTTAGTGATACCAAACAACAATTTCTGAAAATACTTAAACTTAGAAGCGGGTGATTGGAGGGCGTCTCTGGTAAACCCTACTTCTTTTCTATTCTTCTATTAAATTAAATCTGTATGCCTGTCTTACAAACCTCCCCTCTCCCCCAAACAACCCCCCTCCCATACACACTCCCCATCCTCCCACACACTCACACCCCTTCACACACACACGCACACACACAAACACAAACACACACACACAAAATGCCTGCTACCATGTCAATCTGTTTCTCTTTACACGTGGTGTAAACTCAAACTTAAAAAGAAACCAACCCCAAAACAACAGAAGATGAAAGTTAAGGACTTTTTTTGTCGCCTTCCGTCGTCAGAATAAGCGGATCACGGCAGCGGACGCCCTGACCCACCCGTATCTTGACGAGGGTCGCCTGCGCTTCCACTCCTGTATGTGCTCCTGCTGTACTCCGGGGGCGCAGGGTCGAAACTTCTGCGGTGACCTCGAGCCCGAGTGCCCCTTGCCCTTTGACTACAACTTTGAGAAGTCGCTCACCTCCGTCTCCAGGGTTAAAGGTTTGAGTCTTTTGCTTTCTGGACTTGATGGACTTGAGAAATTTTTTTTTTT